ATCAAGAGCCAAGTATTCACCACCGTTGTCAGAGTAAAGTGTGATGATTTTATTGTTAAAATATTTTTCCACTATAGCTTTAAATCTAATAAATACATCTTTAACTTCAGATTTGTGCCTAAGTGGATAGAACCAAATATATTTGGTGAAATGATCGACAAATATAATATAGTATTTAAAATCATCATGTGAAAGAACATGTGAAGTCCACACATCAGAGAAAATGATTTCAAGGGGTTGAGAGGAAGTAATCGATGAATTGGAAAAGGATAATTTGTGGCTCTTATTGCAATTACAGGCATTGTAGAAGAAATTGGACGACATGGAAGATGACAGATCTAATATATAAGTGGAAACCATATTTTTAAAATAGGAAAAGCAGGATGTCCTAGTCTGTGGTGCCACTCGAACGAAGTGGTCTTGACACTAGAAAAGGCTAGTAATGGCGAAGAATTTTGATGTGATATTGGCCACTCATACACTGAAGATATCACCACCGACTTTTATGGAAGTGACTAGAATTCTCTGGTTATGCTACAACCCACATCCATCACCACCACCATACTAGAAGCTGCTGGAAATTATTGCTGAAGCACCGCTATTGAGGAACTTTCCAGAACCTGATTTGCAGCCCTCTTGTCACCGCCATTCATGATTAATTTGGAAGCTCCACCACCGACATACTAGAGTTTGCTAGAAGGAGAAGACCACCGCCACAAGGGAAAAATCTGGAATTGGAGACCACCGACTTTACATGTGTATATATATGTATGTTAGCTGTGTGTATTGTAAGAAGTGGAAGAGAGTGTTAGAGAGAGTGCATGTGTGTTAGATAGAGTGTGCAAGTGAAGAAAGAGTGTAGTGAGAGAGTGTGCTGAAGAGAGAAAATATTTATATAATATTAGATAGTGCTATTTGGTGGTTCTTGTCTAGTGTGTATCCAAAATTGTAAAATCCATTTCATTAATAAACTTTTATTTTGGGCCTCTAAACTCAACAATTTGGTAT